CAATCGTAAATATTTATGCACCCAACATAGGAGCACCTCAATACATAAAGGCAAACGCTAACAGCTATAAAAGAAGAAATCGACAGTAAAACAATAATAGTGGGAGACTTTAACACCTCACTTTCACCAGTGCACAGATCACCCAAAAGGAAAATAAATAAGGAAACACAAGCTTTAAATGATACATTAAACAAGATAGACTTAATTGATATTTATAGGACATTCCATCCCAAAACAACAGAATATACTTTCTTCTCATGTGCTCATGGAACATTCTCCAGGATAGATCATATCTTGGGTCACAAATCAAGCCTTCCTAATTTTACAAAAATTGAAATTGTATCAAGTATCTTTTCCAACCACAATGCTATGAGACTAGATATCAATTACAGGAAAAAAAATAAAAAATACAAACACATGGAGGCTAAACAATATGCTACTAAACAACCAAGAGATCACTGAAGAAATCCAAGAGCAAATCAAAAAATACCTAGAAACAAATGACAATGAAAACACGATGGCCCAAAACCTACGGGATGCAGCAAAAGCAGTTCTAAGAGGGAAGTTTATAGCAATACAACCCTACCTCAAGAAACAAGAAAAATCTCAAAAAAAACCCCCCCAAAAATCCCAACCTAACCTTACACCTAAAGCAATTAGAGAAGGAAGAACAAAAACCCCCCAAAGTTAGCAGAAGGAAAGAAATTATAAAGATCAGATCAGAAAGAAATGAAAAAGAAATGAAGGGAACAATAGTAAAGAACAATAAAACTAAAAGCTGATTCTTTGAGAAGATAAACCAAATTGATAAACCATTAGACAGACTCATCAAGAAAAAAAGGGCGAAGACTCAAATCAATAGAATTAGAAATGAAAAAGAAGTAAAAACTGACACTGCAGAAATACAAAGGATCATGAGCGATTACTACAAGCCACTATATGCCAATAAAGTGGACAACCTGGAAGAAATGGACAAATTCTTAGAAAAGCACAACCTTCTGAGACTGAACCAGGAAGGAATAGAAAATATAAAGAGACCAATCAAAAGCACTGAAATTGACACTGTGATTAAAAATCTTGCAACAAACAAAAGCCCAGGACCAGATGGATTCAAAGGCGAATTCTATCAAACATTAAGAGAAGAGCTAACACCTATCCTTCTCAAACTCTTCCAAAATATAGCAGAGGGAGGAACACTCCCAAACTCATTCTACGAGTCCACCATCACCCTGATACCAAAACCAGACAAAGATGTTACAAAAAAAGAAAACCACAGGCCAATATCACTGATGAGCATAGATGCAAAAATCCTCAACAAAATACTAGCACACAAAGCCAGCAGCACATTAAAAGGATCATACACCACAATCAAGTGGGGTTTAGCCCAGGAATGCAAGGATTCTTCAATATCTGCAAATCAATCAATGTAATACATCATATTAACAAATTGAGGGATAAAAACCATATGATAATCTCAATCGATACAGAAAAAGCTTTTGACAAAATTCAACACCCATTTATGATAAAAACTCTACAGAAAGTAGGCATAGAGGGAACTTACCTTAACATAATAAAGGCCATATATGACAAACCCACAGCCAACATCGTTCTCAATGGTGAAAAACTGAAACCATTTCCACTAAGAACAGGAACAAGACAAGGTTGCCCACTCTCACCACTGTTATTCAACGTAGTTTTTGAAGTTTTAGCCACAGCAATCAGAGACAAAAAAGAAATAAAAGGAATCCAAATCGGAAAAGAAGAAGTAAAACTGTCATTGTTTGCAGATGACATGATACTATACATAGAGAATCCTAAAGATGCTACCAGAAAACTACTATAGCTAATCCATGTATTTGGTAAAGTTGCAGGATACAAAATTAATGCACAGAAATCTCTTGCATTCCTATACACTAATGGTGAAAAATCTGAAAGAGAAATTAAGGAAACACTCCCATCTACAATTGCAATAAAAAGAATACCTAGGAATAAACCTACCTAAGGAGACAAAAGACCTGTATGCAGAACACTGTAAGACACTGATGAAAGGGATTAAAGATGATACAAACAGATGGAGACAGACACCATGTTCTTGGATTGGAAGAATCAACATTGTGAAAATGACTATACTACCCAAAGCAATCTACAGATTCAGTGCAATCCCTATCAAACCACCAATGGCATTTTTCACAGAACTAGAACAAAAAATTTCACAAGTTCTATGGAAACACAAAAGACCCCGGATAGCCAAAGCAATCTTGAGAAAGAAAAAAGGAGTTGGAGGAATCAGGCTCCCTGACTTCAGACTATACTACAAAGCTACAGTAATCAAGAAAATATGGTACTGGCATAAAACCAGAAATGTAGATCAATGGAACAGGATAGAAAGCCTAGAGATAAACCCACGCACATATGGTCACCTTATCTTTGATAAAGGAGGCAAGAATATACAATGGAGAAAAGAAGGCCTCTTCAATAAGTGGTGCTTGGAAAACTGGACAGCTACATGTAAAAGAATGAAGTTCTTTAGTCCATCTGGAATTTGAAATAGAGCTCTAATTAATTTTCTAATTAATTTATTTATAATTAAATGTGTAAAAGTTTTCTCCAAAATCATTCATTGGGGAGCCTTTTATTCCTCCACTATCTGGAAATGTCATCACTATCACATGCTATACTTCCATGTACACGTCTGTTTCCAAAAATTCTAATTTTTTTCCTTTAATTATTTCCTGTAGCTACATTGGTCCTATGCAGCTTTAATTATTTTAGTTTTATGTAGTGTATTTTTATATCGTTGATATCACTACCCAATTGTTTTCCAAATGTTCCTGGCTACTGTCATGCGTTTTCTTTTCTGGATTCCAAGTTCTAAAACTTCTGCTTCTCAAAATAATGATTGAAATTTTCAGTTGACTTTATATAATAATTAGGAGAGAATTGGTATTTTTACAAGATTAAGTCCTCATATCCATGAATACAGTATATCTTTTAAGTCTTCTTTTATGCCTCAGCAAAGTTCTATAGTTTTTGTTTTCATACTGTTCTTGCACATTTAAGTTTATATTCAGCTATTCTGTAGTTTTAGTGCTATTTTAAATGGGATTCTTTTCCATTACATTGTCTAATTAATGATTGATGGTATGCAGGATTAGTGACACTTACAGGTGGCCACCCTACTGAGTTTTCTCATTTTATTAATGTTGGTTAATAATGTTTTCAGCCAGTTGTTTGGGGTCAGCAAACTTCTTCTGTGAAGGGACCGATAGGAAATATTTTTGGCTTTGCTGGTCATAGGAGCCCTGTTGCAGCTACTCAGATCTGCCACTGCAGTGTGGAAGCAGCCGTAGGCAATAAAGGAATAGATGAGACCATGTTCCAATAAAACTTTATTTACAAAAACAGGCTGCTGGCTGGATTTGACTATTGGACATGGGACAGGGTTTGCTGACTATATTCTAAGGATGCAAATATATTGTATATGAATAATATGCTTTTCCTTGTCTCCAAAACAGTGGATTTCAGAAGAGTGTTGAATAATAGGCATGATAAAAGTCACTCTTGTCTTGTTCTTATTTAAGGTGTTGGTATCTCACCATTAAGTTCAATGTTTCTTATTAAATTTTTGGCAGATATCTTTACCCAGTTAAAAGTGTTTTCATCTATTCCTAGGTTACTAAGAGATTTTAACAGCAGTGTAATTGAATTTTAGCAAATGCCATGTATCTCTTAATATTCACATTTTCCCTATTATTTCTTCATGAATATAAACAAAATATCTTATAATGAACTGTCCTTGAACTAATGGAAGAAATGATTCCATTTCCTGTATTTCATTAAAGATTTCTATATCTGCATTCATAAATGAAGCCATAATTTTCTTTCTATAATATTTCTTTGATTTTTTAGTACTATTCTAACTTTTGTAGAATGAATTGGGAAACTTCCCATCTTTTTTTATGCTCTGAAATATTTTAAATGATATCAAAATTAACTATTCTTTGCAGGTTTGCTAGAACACCCAGAAATTATTTGGGTTTAGTGAACTTTTTCAGTGATGGGCTGTGCCGTTTCCATCTCCTCTGTTACTCATTGATCTTTATGAAGCAGGGTCCTCCCAGCACCTCTTTGCCCCCTATGGCTAAAGCCTGTGTGCTGCGTGGGATCCGTTCCACTTAGACTTGCTGTTGTGGAAACTGGTCAGCTGAGTGGACGTGAGAGCAGAAGAAACCCGTCATAGGTTAAAATGTCTCCCCCATTTCTGTTTGAGTTCCGGAATGGTTAAATTATACAATAAGGAAAGACAGAGGAGAAGCAGAAAAGGCAGAAAAGGCAAGCTCTTTAGAGATAAAATAAGTGGTAAGGAGAGGCCCTGAGCCGCTCTGGAGTAGAAGAGAGGGCGGGTACCCCTCCAACTTCTACTTCCACCCAGAGGGAGCAGGGCTAGATTGTTAAAGGGCATCACTGGTTCAAGGAAAGAAGGGATTTTGCACTTTGGAAAATTCGATGGGCGTTTAAGGCTCCTGGAAACCTTGGGCTTTCCGCTCCCTGCTGAGTTGTCAGGTTGCCTTTGCTGGGGCCACACCAGCTTCAGCTCCGGGTGTTGGGGACCCTGGCTTGTAGTGCTCTCTAGCTCCCTCCCCCTCACCACCCTCGGATCCCTGGATACATCCTTTCCTGGGGGCGGGGTAGGAGGTAGGCAGAGCGCCCCTGCAGCCTGCCCTCTGTCTTCATGCTCAGGTGCTGGTCCCCTAGGAATTCCTTGCCCAAGCGGCCCGGCTGACAGCACCTTATGGTGCAGACCACCTGGAGAGGTGGGGGGCCACCTGCTGTGCGTGGGGCTGAGCCACAGGTGAGACAGCGTGGTTGACGCACGGCTCCCATCTGTCCTGCTCTGCGACCTGCATGCGTGATGTGCCTTGACGGGACAGCTCTGTGCTTGGGCTCATCGGGGTTGACTTTCAGGCATGGAGTAAAAGATGTATTTTTGTTTTCTTTAGAACCTAGTATCCAGCTTTTCTAGCTCAGTGTCCAGGGCAGGAGGAAGAGGCTGCAGGCAGAACCCGTGGCGGGACCTCAGCGTGGACCTGGCCGTCCTTGCACTGTTGTCTCCCAGGGCACCATGCCTGCCTGGTGGGCCGGAGGGCGAGGCTCCTTCAAGGTACACATTTACAAACTACAAATGGATGCCCTCAGGCTCTTTATTATATTTTGTTTACTGTGTTTTTGAGGCCAGGGCAAAAATTAGATGTGATCTTACGGCTTTTCTACCCAAGTTTTTAAATGTCTTCTCCTGGGTGTGAAGGAAGGAACTGGATGGCCTGGAGGACGAGCCAGGATACGACACAACCTGGAGAACCGGCTCAGGAGGACTTGCCCACGCCCTGAACAAGCGGAAAACCCAGGGAAGAACCGTCTCATCGTTTTCAAACCCTCCTATTCTTGGGAAAGCTTTTCTCTCTCCAGAGAGCTGTGATGACTTTGCCTTTGTGATTCCAAAGGCAGAATCCCTTCAAGCTGAAACCCCACGTGCACTGCGCTTCAGCTAGTGTTCCGGGGGTGGGGGCGGGGGAGAGCGGGCTGTTGCTGCGTTTGCCCTGAGGTGGGGATGGAAGCCATGACCTTCCCGTGGGGGTGACATTTCAGGCTCCAGGCAGCCGGGGCCCCAGCACTGTCCCTGTCTGCCTCCCCCTTCTCTCCGTGAGGGTTCAGCCCTGATGGAAGGCTGTGAGCTCTAAGAGGCCCAGGGCACCGAGCACACTAGGGGCTGGGGGCTCGGGAGGCCAGGGAGGCCTGGGGGTCCCACAGCGACCCGGAGAGGTCCCTGGATCCGCTTATGCTTCTGGAACCTGGTTATCCTGCAGTCCTGCTGCCACCTGAGTGACAGATGCCCCTCAGCCTGTGCTGCACGCAGGTGACAAATGATCTCCGGGAAGCACCGCACCAAACAAAGCTGTGCCTCCCCTGGAAGTGACGGGCGCCTACGCGGCCAGCATCAGGGAGGTTGTGACACGGGGAGCCTGGGCGGTGGCCTCGGGAGGGTGGCACGGCTCCGGGTGACTGCGCCCCCTGCCTGGGCGCTCCCTCCCACCACCCGCTGCCCCTTACGGCCAGTTCAGATGACCGACCCCCTCCGGTTCCCTGAGCCGCTCAAGGATTTAACCTCAACACAGCATCTTCCCTCAGCGCTGCTGGTTTCCTCCACGGGCGAGTGAGGAAATGGCGCAGGGTGGGCAGGCAGGTCTTCCCCGTGGTACGGGGGGCGATGGGGAGAGAGTTGGAGCAGCTGGGCCCGACGCCCGAGCACAGGGTTGTGGTTTGTGAACGTCTCTGACTTTCAGTGTTTATTACGGAGCAGAATCGCAACAACAAACTTCTGGTGTCCCGAGGAAACACAACCTTGCTACAGACTCATCTCTTCCGCAAGGAGGCCTCTCTCTTGGAGGAGATCTGGGAAGGGGAGATCTTGGGAGGTGTGCCCTGCACGACACGGCATTGAGACGGCTCCACTCGCTGAAGCGTATCAGGCCCTACGGTGTAGACGGCGGGAGCGGGAAGCCTGGGGAGCAGAGGGCATACGGTAACTCTCCATAATTTCTCCTCGGTTTTGCAGTTGTTGAAACTCAAACTGCTCTAAAAATAAAGTTTATTAATGAACGTTAAAAAGTTGTCAGGAAAGAGCATCTACAGTAGGTCAGATATGATTAATAACTAATATCAACACTGCATTAACAGGAATGCAATATTATTTTTTATAAGGTAAGTATGAGTAACGAACAATGAATAGTATACATCTAATTTTTTAATACTCCATATACAATCAACATGTTTTGATCAACAGTGTAAACCATATAAAAGAAAACCTTGCTTTCCATTTGTACAAATATTGCTTTCATCATAGCAAAACTTTACAATGTTAAAACGTACCATAGATAGAGGCTATAAAAAGTATTGCTTGTTTCAGAACGAAGTTATTGGTGTCTGAGGCTAATCAGTTACATCATCACCTCTAATATCAGTCATCAGATCCATAGCATGTCTTTGTTTCCAAGAGTGTATATTATACAGCAAGATTACTCTGTAGCCAAATTAAGTCAAAAGGGTTTCTTTTTTTAAAAAAATAAATAAGTAAACGCACCTAAAAATGTGTAGTTTTATCTACCAGGTGATAGGGTGGGGATTTTTAGTACTTCTGCTGGCAATTCAGATAGGAATGTGTAATCTCGGAAGGCATATTGTGCTTGTGGAAGAGAAAACAGTACTAATTGCTTCAGATTTTATCCCAGATGTAATATAGAAAAAAAACATAAGACGTGTTTCTTAAAGCAAGCATCCTCTCATTGGCTCTGGTTTTTACCAACGCCATCCAACTACTCATGCAGTCTCCTTGCCGGCTCCCTCTGTGGCTAACTGCTTCCCTTCTCCCTGGGCAATAAAGGATGCACAGCGGCTCCAGGCAGGGCAGCCAGCTGGTTGCACAAGCAGCAAGGATGCTCACGATCAGTCCACTTTCAGTGGAAGACATGGAAAAAAGGGGTCTGTTCTGTATTTCCTTTTGGCCCTCTCCCCTCTAGTGCTTGGGCACGTGCCCTGGACCCTCCCCGTCCAGCCAGGTTCCTGACGCTCAGCGAGTGATGCTGGGTTTTTTAAAAAATTAATTTATTTAATTAATTTATTTTTGGCCGTGTTGGGTCTTCGTTGCTGCGCACAGGCTTTCTCTAGTTGTGGCGAGCGGGGGCTACTCTTCGTTGCGGTGCAGAGGTTTCTCACTGCGGTGGCTTCTCTTGTTGCCCAGCAGGGGCTCTAGGCTCACAGGCTCAGTAGTCGTGGCTCGTGGGCTCTAGAGCACAGGCTCAGTAGTTGTGGCGCACGGGCTTAGGTGCTCTGCGGTATGTGGGATCTTCCCAGACCAGGGCTGGAACCCATGCCCCCTGCATTGGCAGGTGGATTCTTAACCACTGCACCACCAGGGAAGTCTGATGCTGGGGTGTTTGTGCTTGGGACTTCTCTCAGTCCTCAGGTGTCTACAACTGCAGAATCTGCCTGCAAGTCCACACACCTGTGGCTAATCCCTAGGCAGGTGGTTCTCAGCCTCGGCTGCACATCAGGATGATTTTAGGAGTTTTACAAAGTATAGATCCTGGGTTTCGCTGGCCTGAGGCACGGCTGGGCCTCAAGGTTTCAAGAGCTCCCCCCTCGATTTCACCGTGCAGCCGGCGTTGAGAACCCCATCCCTAGGGTGTGGGAACGGCTTAGTTTGGAAGACCTTTGGTGGCATTCATCAAACATGCTAAACATTATTAGGGCTCTGCTGGTATTTCTCGTCTATATTGTAATTGCGTATCAATGGTAAATACAAAAATAAATCCTTTGCATCAAAGTCAGATTGGGATAGAGAAACCAACAAAGTGCTCCGCTATTGTTTTTCCCACATTTACAGGGTCCCGTTGGCAGATGGGTGGAGCACGGCATGCAGCTGAAGTTGTGTATTAGTCGTAACAGTGATTCTTTCCCACTGAATTGCCCCAGAGTCAAATGAACCTGCTTCAGACCAAGAAACTAAATGTGCTTTCCACCTTTTTCTCACTTGATAGATATAAAAACGAGTCTCCTCTTCATCAGGACAACGACCTAGCCTAGCTCTGCAATGATGTTGTGCCTTTTTATGAGAGAGAAGAGAATTTCCTCGTTTCAGTCAAATCCCTTTAAACAAAAATTTCCGTTTCAAATTTTGATTCTCTTGCAGTCTTTCTAAGGTAAGCTATTTCTTTAAGTAGAAAAGTGAGTTTTCCTATAAATACACCTTACAAAGTTCAGTGCTGAAAAGTTACAAAAATAGGCTTGCGTTTAAAAATCTTGTTGGAATGTGTCTTTAATAGTAAAAAATCTGTGCTCCTGATGCAGCCGGTGTGATTGGTGACAGAGGTAGGGGTTTCTATTCACTAAGGTTTTACAGCCCCAGCAAAGAAAAAACACAGAGCATTATGTTGTAATAATGTGCTCGTCACCAGGAAAGAAATGCAGAGTAGATGTTAAGGGCAAGTTCAACAGCTGTTGCTTTGGGTGAGCAGCTCATTCCCTGCAGCAGGAGATGGATTTTTCTAATACTTCTCAGGAAATGAAACTGTCCAGGGCTTTCTCAAGGCTCAGATTTGGGTATCTGCCACTTTCAGGATCAGTTAGCTGCTGGTGACAAGGAATTAGAGGCTTCTGGAATGGCCACCAGTGGCTGAGTCTCCAGGCACACCAGGGACTGTGGGCTCGTTCTGGCCCTGCCTCAGGAATCTCTTCCACACACACAGTTTCTCTGATTCTGCCCTGACTTGGGGGCACGGTGTAGACGCCTAGGCTTGTACAAGGGAAGGTGACTTTAGAGATGAGGGTTTCAACTCTGGTTGCCCATGACAGTCACATGGGGAGCCCGTAGAATTCCCATTCACTTGGTCCTTTTGAGCTCACGGGGGGTCCTGGTGGGCAGCAAGGGTGAGAACCGTGGCACTGAAAGCGAGCAGCTGCATCCTATACGCTGAGCACGCCACGAGCGGGAGGCCGCCGGCCCAGGGCTGAGTCTCCCCTGCAGAGCCTTTCCTTAGCACGGCTGCTTCCCAAACTCTGGTGCTCATTAGAGTCACCTGGGGGAGCTCTGAAACTCCCTGGGCCCAGGCTGCCCTGAGGCAAATTCAGACCCTTTTTGGTTGGGACCCAGGAGACTCCCAAGGGCAGCCAGCCTGAGAACCACGACCTTTGTGCTTCTGCAATTCATGGTTCACGTCTGTCTGCAGTGGGGGCGGGGGAGGACTAAAGCTCAAAATTAAGAACTTTCAACAAATACCTAAGCCTTAGTGTCAGCTGGAATGCAACCTGCTGTCTCCACCACTGTGCCCCTAGCTGTAGAATCAGTGACAACTCGGACCAGAGCAAACCTAGAGTTTGGAAGATTCGCCTGTCTTCCTGAGGTGACAGAACAATTTTTCGTAGCGTGTGACAACAGGGACTCCTTAAAGATTATGTGAGAAGATGTGTGTCAGGCCCACTGGACAGCTGACCCTGGAATGACTCAGGCTGGGGTGCTGACCCTTCTGAGCAGTGGACCCGCCAGTAACTTTAGCAAGTCGGCGCTCTGCAGCCTCCGGTTCTTTATGTGAGGATTCAGCCAGCTGGGGCTCGCGTAGAACTGCCATGTTCACTAGGGAAAAAATCCACGCCTAAAGAGACCCGCACCCATGTTGTTCAAGGGTCAGCTGTAAATGTTAGCCTCCGACTCTTACTTCCCCCTGACCTGTGTCCAAAGGCCTGGTCTGGAGCTGAGCCGTGGGGAAGGGTTCCAGGGATGGCTGGGGAGGAAACAGAAGACAGGCTCTCTGCGGGACCTCGGGGCCTCGTGTCAACTAGGAGGAACCAAAGGGGTGAGCGTTAAGCCCTGAGGTCTGGCCAGTCAGAGCCACGATGTGGGAATCCTGGAGCCCTGGGAGCCCCCCTCCTGACCTCCCAGGGACCCCCGGACTGGACTCAGGCTCTCTTGGGCTCTGAAGCATCTACAGGCCCCCCTGCACCTCCTTGGACAGACATAGTGAGACCATTCTAGGAAACAATCTTTAAGAGAATTTAGCAACTACATTTTATGCAGGAAAACTGAAATACAAAGAAGAAAAAAGCTGAATAGTTCCCGCTGTTTTATTATGTTATAGTAAAGTATTTCAAATTACAAAAATACTAGGGTTTTAGCGCTACAGTTGGACCAGCACCCTGTGGTCCTCCCTCACCATCTGTTTCCTGACAAGTAAGTGACAGCAGAATGTGAATCGTTGTGTTTCTCAGGGCTGGATAAGTCGTGGGCTAAAGTATTTATGTTCTGAGGTGAATAAATAATGAAAGTGGTTTACTGACAAGGACATAAAATTTCAGATTCTTAAGAGGTGTTGTTTAATCTTTCCTCAAATCATTTTCAAATCCCCCGTGGGGACGGACCCGAAGGGCCCTTGGGGAATGTAACTCCCAGGCCAGAAGGGGCAGTGGGCCTGTAGACCGGCTGCACGAGTGGTTCCTGCGGCAGATGCCTCCGTGGTTGAGGCTCCCTCTGCTGGGAACGCACTTTCCATTTTCCAGTGGCTGACGCCCTGGGGGGGTCTTTTAACCCAACTCCACCACGGCTCCTCCAGGACCCGGTCCCCCTTACTCCCTGCTTTGTGCTGTCACGGTGCTGGGCTGACATGTCACGTCTGGCATGTGTCATATCGTTTTAAGGCTGGCGTTTGTGAGTCAGTTTTCTTCGCTAAATTGTGAATTTCGTGGAATCACGGATTATGTTTGGTTTATCTTCAGTACCTATGCCAGGCTGGTAAGGTGTTCAAGGGTATTTGGAACACGATGTGATGGAATTGAATTGAATATAGTTTATATTTCCACTGAGACAAGATAAAATACTTTGGTAACAAAACTGGGGCCCTGATCCATCTGAGTCAATAAATAACTTAAAAGCTAAAGGAAAATCGTGGATGTGGGATGTGGGATGGGCGGCTGAAAATATTGTCTGAAACACTTCTTCCTGGCTGAGGTGGGTGTTGACTAAGAGTGTTTATAACACTGTCTACCAAGAAGGGTGTTAACAGTCAGGGTGCGGGGACACGGGTGAGAAAATGCTGGTGTCCTAAGCAGCAGGTCCTCCAATTACAGGGAGTTATTTTAAGGGGAAATTGTTTTCTTCTTCTCACATGCCTATAGATGCTATGAAGGCAGTATCATCAAATTAAATTTCATATTTACCGCTTGAATTCCACACGACACAAACTGCTGTCTCTATTCTAAAGCGTGCCAGTGGTGGTGAGGGCGAGACATTTCCGCAGAGCTGCCCCAGAGCCTGGACCCTTCAGCTTACCAAGGGAAGGAGGAGCTTCGGGGCCGCTTGCCAGTGAGGGGCAAAGTACCCTTGGAGGAAAAAAGCCTGGAAGTGAAATAAAAAGAAAACTATCTTCCGTGAGTAGCTTGAACAAATTTTTTTTTTTTTTTTGTCGGGGGGAGCTAGAAGTTGTAAGAGCAGCTTCGTTCTTGCAGTCTCCCGATACATGCCTGTCCCCTGACCCCCAAAGGACCTGATGTATTTCCTCTGAGACTCACATCTGGGGGACTGGTCCCTTTTTGCACTGTCATTCCATCTCAATTAAAGGCAACTGGTCTGAATGCTGACGAATGAAATATGAGCCGGTCTTGGTTACCGTCCCCTCCTGCTGACAGGGAAAGCATGCTGAATTTCACCGCAGTGGAATGGAAAAGAAACAAATCTGATACTTGTAATTAGAAAACACGGGTCAACCAATGGAGAGTTAAGTACCATGGAGACATTCATATAAAAGTAAGTCTGAGGAAGAATTCTACCCCCTCTGTTTCTTCCTTGCCCAGGAAGAGTTCCAAGTGGCTTATCCTCTTGCACCTGCCGTGATTTGATATAGTACCAATCGGGCCTGCTTAGGATCCAGAGGACTGGTTCGTTATTCAACTGTCTTGCAGTGGAAGAGTCTCCAAGCGGAGCCAATGGAATCAAGTGTTAGCTGGAAGGCTGACCCTTGCTTCTCGGTCACAGGTGGGCCTGGGTCAACTCAGTGCCACAGGTGCTACGAGCAAGACTGTCCCTCATTGGACAAGCCCATTGAGAGCAAAATCAATGACAAAACCCCAGAGGTCCCCAAGCAATAAAACTCCTTAAACATATTTAGTGTTTTTCAAATATACCTCATTGAAAGGTGAACTTCTGCCCAAATGGACAACATTCTTTCTGGATGCCTTTTGTGGAAGCCTCACAGTCTGAAGACAAAGGAACGTCCCTGCAGCTCCCCTAAGTGCATCCGAGTCGGGGGCACTTGTTGGCTGAAAGATGGGCTGATCACGGCAGATGTGGCCAAACCAGTCCATGGGTCCAAGAGTTAACGTGAGTATGGCTGACGGGACTGAGTAGCTGCCGTGGCTTGGTCCTGGGGAATGAAGGGGCTGGACTTTTTAGGGCTGAGGCCGTCCTCCATGGTCAGGCCCCGGTAAGGTCGCTGCCCGCTGGTGCTACCCTTAGGTATTCTGCATTTTCAGCGGCAGAACCCTTAAAGATGCCATTTGACTTGGCTTCCTTGGGAAGGAAGGCCTGCTGGTAGTCAGGGTTGTCCAGGTTAATTTGGTGACCGCCTTTCTGTGCCCAGAGGGCAGGGCCGTCGAGCACACCGTTGGTGCAGGCGGGATGGGTGGTGTTGAGATACTCAGGGCTGTCCACGGCATTGCTGTGGGAATTCTGGTAGTGAGGGTCTCTGCCTGGAGCCGGGTTTAGAGGCTGATTGTGATAGACGGGGTTCTGGACAGAGCCCGCGGGCCTTTTGGGAATAGACTGGTTTACGTATTCTGAAATTGAAAAGAAATCAGACGTAATCAGCAAAGCATCATCCTAAGCAGGATTCCACGGCTCATTCTGAAGCCGTGAATATTCAGTGAGGCAACGGGTGACAGAAGCAGGGAAGCCTGGGGAGACGACTCTCTGGCTAAAATAAATTGCGCTGTTTTCTGTCCTTCTCAAAGCAATGGGCACGTTTATCGTTTGCCAATTTAAAGTCCTGAGAGGACAGCCTCCCTTGAGGGGTGTGTGTGTGTGTGTGTGTGTGTGTGTGTGTCTGGGGATAAAGCTTAGATTAGGGAAATACATGTTTCACAGGCCAAGAATGGAGCCAGGAGAACAGAGATCAAATGTGTCACACACACACCCACACATGCTCACACACTGACACATGTATATCTCTGCTGTTTGCTTCAATTCTAGAAAATGTGCAGATTCATTCTATAGACAGCCTGGACATGCCTTGAGCCCCTCAGAGACCCGTGCACACGCCCAGCGGTTTCTGTCGATCGGCCTCTTCCTCCATCCATCGTGTCTGCACGCGTGTCATGGGCCCCACCTCCGGACCAGCTCGAAAGCAGCAGCTGGCCGGGGCACTGGGGACGGGGGCTCAGGGGCATGGCTGCTTCCAGAGCGAGGCACTTACCGGGTGCTGGAAGGAAGGCGTCATCTATGCTGTCCTCGGTCAAGGTGCCAGTGGGGTCTGAGCTGTACCGCTGCAAGAAGCTATCTTCCTGGAGGGGATAGCTCTGCTGGGGAGGAGATGAGGCAAGGTTACTCCAGCCAGTGTTGCTCACTTCGGCGGGGGTATCAGGATCACCTGACAGCCCGTTCACCTGCAGATAATGATTCAGCAGGTCTAGGAAAGGACCCGCACCACCCACAGGCGGCCCACAGACCCCAGGGCAAGTGGCACGGCCCTGGCCGGGGCCGTCCAGCAGGGCTTTCTGCAACGACAGACATGTTCCGTAGTCTGTGCTCGTCCACGCGGTAGCCACTAACCACATGTGTGAGGAACTGAATTTCAAATTGTAACTTAAGCAGCCACATGTGGCTGCCACACTGGTGAGTGTGGGTCTAATCAAGGCTTCACACACCAAGCAACAGCATCACCTGCAAGGTGGGCTCACATACAGACGGCCAGGCCCCTCCCGGCAGATCCTGAGTCAGCAGGTGTGGGGTGCTGGCCCGACCGTTCGCATCTCTAACAACTGCCAGGTCCGTGACCTGCACGACGCGCTGTCCTTCAACTCTATTTTCAGTAGCATTTTGATACGTGATAGCTAATTGCTGGCCTTAGGGTAGGGATCAAACAACACAGGAAGGAAAATCCCAGCTTTCTGAGTTAGGGTGGGCATTTCTTATGTCTAATAGAGCCATGGTACAGAGCTGTTATTTAATTCTGCTTTACAGGAGTTGATACCTACCCCGTTTCTATCACCGCAAGCCACAGTGGGCGTGTTGCTGGTGGAGCTCTGAAAAAGAATCACAGCTGTTTACGGTGCACGTGGACGCTCGCCCATCCCCACTGAGAGCAGGACAGCGGGGGGGGGGGGGGGGGGGCTCGGGCGTGGGCGCGGTTAAAGGGGCTTGATTTCGTCTTGACTCGTTGGCTTTAGAAAAACTAGATTTAGTTCTGACTTAACTCTGTTCCTTAGTGGACCAGAAAAGGGGATGACCCAGTTGTTGCAATGCAGTAAGATAATTAATACACTGAATTGCTTCATTCTGATTTTGCCTTTACCACCTGGTTAACGTCTACTTCTCTGTCTCTGCGTGAGTTCCACAAGACGGGTATCATTTTTTGCTAAAACTCAACCTGTTCAAACCAGGAGGCAGAGCTTGAACAAGAGTGACTTTGGTACCAGAGAACTGAGGAGGGGCGTCCGGGAGCTGGCGGGGCTGTGGAAGAAGCCCTGCTGGGGGATGAGGTACTCGTCCGCATCCACAACATCTTGCATGTCCTCTTCGTCCATCAGGGCACGGTAGAAGTTGGAGTCCGTGGGGCTTGGCAAATGCATCCTCTCGTCCCCCTGGCACAGAGATTGTGAGACCATTAGAAAGGTCCAGAGAGCCGCCGTTCCACCCACTGGCTGTCGAGGCGGGTCTGCTGTCAGCCGGTGCTTGTGTGTTTGCCAATTTAGTTCTAGTACACTCGTCCCCCCTCCCCCTGCCCGGGTCTGTGAAGTACAGCTCCTCCTTCCATGTCCCCAGACCTGGAACTAAGACACTGAAAATTCCCTGATGTCTCAAAGTCCTCAAAGGAAATGCAGACAGCTCAGGAGGAAAACGGAAGGGCCAAAGCCGCAGCATTCACTGAGTGCTGTGCTGTGTACAATGAGAAATACACATCTGGTCGTCTTCCCTGCTCCTGGCACAGAGCTCCTAAACCCCTGGAATTCCCTGTGTGTCTCTTACATTAACCAGGAGACTTCTGGAAGCACCTAAAGATGGGGGCTGGTGGCCAGTGGAGACAACCATGTGATCACACGGTCGGAACTTTCAGTCTCGCCCCTAACCTCCAGGGAGCGCAGGGGGACTCGGGGTCGAAGCTACTGCCAATGACCAATGATTTAATCAGGCCTATGTAATGAAGCCTCCATAAAACCCCGAAAGGACAGGGTTCAGAGGTTCGGGGTGGTGAACCGCTGGAGATCTGGGGAGAGTGGTGCACCCAGACAGCACGGAAACTGCACCCTTCCCCCATGCCTTGCCCCTTGCATCTCTTCTGTCTGGCTGTTCCTGAGTTATACCCTTCTAGAGTAAACCAGTGATCCAGTAAGTAAAAAGATTCTCTGAGTTCTGAGAGCCACTCTAGCAAATTAATGGAACCCAAGGAGGGGGTTGTGGGAACCTTCTGCCAGATGGTCAGATGCCCAGGGGACAACCTGGACTTGGGACGGGCATGTGACCTGGGGGGAGGGGAAGCGGCCCTGGAGGACTGTGGGATCTGACGCTGTCTCCAGGTGGACAGTGGCAGATCGAGCTGAACTGAAGGACACCAGCTGGTGCTGGAGAATTGCTTGCTTGGTGGTGTGGGGTCTCTCCCCTCCAACACACACACCCTGCGATTGCTAAGCAGAACCCTTAGGCGTTTTGCAAAGTGTTTTGCATGTATTATTTCACTGAATCTTTAAAGCAGCTCTGTGAGCTTAGTTTCATTAACCTAACGTTGTAAGTACAGAGTCAGGGATCTGAAGCCCCAGGTTTGCCCGACACCAAAGCCCTGGTCCTCCAGGAGAGCAACATAAGGCTTTGGCTAAGGGGACCATGATATGAGCTGAGTGTGAGGGGCTCACAGGGGTGGCAGATGGAGCTGGGGGCCCCACGGCGCACTCCACTTAGTCCACAGCTTGGGCTGCGCTTGTTCTAATGCACTGAGGATTAATGGTGTGACCTGCGAGACGGGGAGGCTGTGTCGGCACCGGACGGAGCACAGTGACATTTGATGCATATTAGACGGATTTTCCCAGTGGGTGTGCAGACTGGGATCTGGTACCTGGATGACAAGGTAGCGCTGGGGGTCTCGGGCCATTTTGGAGAATTCAATGATCAACTCACGGAACTTTGGGCGACTATCTGCATCAATCATCCAGCCTGGGGAAGGAAGGAGGAAAGTCAGTGCAATTAGAGCCCTGAAAGAAGTGATAAAGATGGCATCGCTGAGAGAAAGCACTTACGGTGAGATTCTTTTAGACAAACGAGGACGAAACCTAATCTCTGTGACAGGATTTTCAGTCTTGGCAAACCAGCACTGATTACTGTTTAAAGACCATGACGACATCACATATCTGAGTCAGAATGACAATAACATGCTCTAAGTTTCTGCACCTCCCCTTCCAAGGGCCAGCATTCTGGTGTCATCACCTTAAGTGACTGCAGGATATGCACTGCTTTCTGTGAACTGCTCGGACTGGAGGGTGCTCTGAGTCCAAGTCTCTCAGTAAAGCCGTCCCTTGACCTTCACCCTCATCCATATTCACTCAGCAGTCTAGTAAGCTGGAAACCAGATTCGGTTTAGGGAAGATTAGGGACTTTCTTAAGAACCTCGGCGTCTGGGAATTCCACACCCTGCTGCTTTCACTGTATTACACACTGAAGCAATCACATGTGCACGTGACAGGGGTGCTTCAGTGCCTTTCATGGTGGGGATACTTCTGTCAGCCGTGCATTTGAGTACACGATGATCCAAGTCTAGATTAAACATGCTGGAGGAACAGCTATCGACTGGAAGTCCTCCTGATTCCTGAGGGTTATTTATTTTCTATCAGCAGGACGTCAAGCTATTCTGGGCCAGACTGCTATGTGACCTTACACAAATCATGTAACCTCTCTGGATCCCAGCTTCCGCAACCTTAAGCAAGGACGTTAAAAATGATTAACTCTGTGGTCTAAAGTTCAGAAAGGCTTAATATTTACATTAACTCGATCACATTCCCTGTGCTACCTTCTGTATAAATGCTCATCATACATGTAATGTGACCCGCAGAGCCTACTGAATTCGTGATTCTGATGGCGCGGTAGTGTCACCGTCAAGCTACACATTCTTACTTGGATTAAAATGTTTACTTGCTCCCACTGCAGAAGGCCTCACATAAATCCACCATCTGAAAAGGTTTACGTCAAAGCAGAAATGCCGATTCTATTAACCTCTTGTGGTTACTCATTGTTAGGCATTTAAAAACAGTCTCTCTGGTAACAGGCTTCAAAAAGTGGGGCAGCTTTTTCACTGAGCAACTCAGAGAGAAGAATATTTTGGTGCAATGGCTTATGGGGGACTTGGATTTTACTTGTTTGCTTGTGAACATGGGCAAACGTCAGCTCACAGCGCTCAGTGCGTCAGGTAAGTGCTTCCAGAAGTGTCTGAGGGGGTGTTTACAGATGTGCCTGCCTATGGACCGTGACAGCATGTGTTCAGGGCATCGAAGGCCTGGGGCGCTTGGCTCAGGGCAGCCCAGGGCCAGGTGCAGCCGGCCACTCACACTTGACCATGATCATGTAGACGTCGATGGTGCAGATGGGCGGCTGAGGCAGGCGTTCTCCCTTCTCCAGGACGGTTGAGATCTCACTCGCGGGGATCCCGTCGTAAGGCTTGGACCCAAAGGTCATCAACTCCCAAACGGTGACTCCTAAGAGGAAGAAGCGTTGCTGTGTGAGTCAATAATAATCACTGCACCTTGTCTTTAGTCATCATTGTTGACATACTGTTTCTAAGGTTTAAAAACCCACGTCTGTGGCCTTGGGCAATTTGCTTGATGCTAGAAGTCTCAGTTCAGCTCCCTGTAAAGGGGGGTGATGACAGCATCTGCCTCATAGGACAGTTGTGAGGACCAAACAAGATAACACAACTGCAATGTTCAGACGATCCCAGGCAAATAGTAAGCAGCCCATAAATAGTAAACTTTAGTAATAACAGCAAAGGGAATACCACCACTCTGAAACATACGGAGTACCGTCTGTGGAGCTGGAGTGCCACACCCACACATCATCGGCCCCAGGTGACTTACCAGCAAGGTTATAAACTGTGTTTTTAAAGAATAAAAAAATTGGAAGAAAAACCCCCTGTGTTCCTTTTGATAAATATAAAAACCCCATACTTTTAATTTCAACATCCATCAATCGTCATGATTAAAAAAGTTAAAGCAGGAGTAATTTTAGAATTGGTGTTTTTTAAGACTGTTCCGAAGTTCTGATGGTCCTTCCATCTCCGTGCCTCCCTTGATGGAATTCTCTGCTCCAGAAACACACAAATGCCGTGGGGAGTATGTCCCCACCTGGACAGCAAGGTGCCACTAGCGATGAGTGCAGTGGGCCTGAGCCTGGGTTCCCAGACCACACAGGGAGGGACCAGACACAGGAACCCAGGGCCTTCCTGGTCTCCAACTAGTCTAACCCCCCCTTTTCTTGAGATTGGCTTCTAAATGCGTATCACCACGGATCTGCATAGATTTTTCAGAGGTCATTCCAAAACCGAATGACCTGAACTAACACGCAAAATGCAAGGCTGAAGAATGAAGAAAAGCAGTGGTCCAGGGACAAGAAAATAGATTCTTCTGTCCTGCCCACCACGGAGTCAATATGGACATGATGAAAGAAAGAAAATCTCATGTCCAGATCTTTAAAGTCGATTAGTCCTCCTCTAACTAGGTTTAGACATTGCGTTTAAACACACACAATGAATTCCTGCGGGAAGGCAGCTTTTCAGGTTTCAGAACAAATGTTGAAAGAGGGCGGTGTGTGTACCCGGTTGCGGGGTATGAGTGGGGCTGGAAGGTGCTATGAACTCTCTCTTTTCAACTCCTAAGCGGAACACATAGGTCCCTAACTGACTAAACTGTTTTGCCTCGACTGGAGCCTAGACAGTGGAGTAACAGGATATGCTTTTAGCCTAAAAACTCAGGTTCATGTTGTAACAGGTCTGGTGTACTGCCAGGACAGCAGATTAGAATCACTGACAACATGATTTCCACTGAGACGAAAGACACGGCGCCCCCGTGGTGATGCTGACTTTCTGATGTCGGTTGTAATCATTCACAGGGATTAAGTCACTGAGTCGGAGAGTTTTCATTTACTGGACAAACGTGGCCCAAGTGCGCGCTGCGAGTGGACACACGGGGCCAGGGGAGAGCGCAGCCGGTAGGCTGGGAAAGGCAGACTACTTCTGATCCTAACTGATCACGGTTAGGGGCTCAGGTTTTATCTGGAACATATGTGGAACACCAAAGGATGTTAAGCAGAGAAGCGAACGTCTAATGTAGTTTAAAAATACATTTTCCTGCTGTTTGGAGAACAGATGAGTGTGTGTAAAACAAGCCCAGAGAAGACCCAGGAGGAGCCCCTCCTTGGTGTCACTGGGGGTGGGGGTGGGGTGGCTTGGGCTGTGACAATGACAATGACAGCTCTGGGCAGGACGACAAACGGGAAAGCGGCATTTCTTCCCATCCCTCTGGGGGAGTAGACATTTCTTGAACATGACTGAAAATAAGGCATCAGAATAGCTTTATTTCCTTATCTAGTTCATTGTGAGCAGCTCAGCTCGCAGGTATAAATGAAAATTCACTTATTCATTCACAAAGACCTCCGTCTTTGTAAAGCTTACATTATAGCAGAAAAAAAGACCCATGCAATTTTTAAAAATGCATTCGGAATATTAGGAAGTTAATAATGCTATGAAAGAAATGCTAAATGGACAGTCTCCTGAATGATTTTGTTTTTGTGACAATGGCTAAATTCCTCTTGGAGGTTCCTTTCACTACTGCTCTCCCCAAATACACGTTTCCATGGAGGTGGGTGACCCCTTCACCTCTGTTGCGTTCATAGCTGGGACAGGCTGCTGATGCATACAGAGTTCAATGTGGATCAGGTGTTTTGCAACCTTTGGGCTGATTCTGGGTGACAGGGAGGACTGCCTGCAGTGACAGAGGTGGAAGCACCCCAGCACGGCAGCCAGTGGAAATGCCTTCCTGGAAGGCAAGGCCCCTGCGGACTCAGGAAATGCTCTGTACAGAGGACGAGGCGAGAGCGTGAAAGGTGTGTCTGAAGACAGGGAAGCCCGTCAGAGGACAGAGCACAGGGCTGCGTGGGCTTTGAAGGAAGAAGAATCAGACCCCGACGAGACGGCCTTCACGAGAGCTGGAAACTAACTATTTCCCTTTCCTCACATTTCCCCACAAACACACCCTCACAGTGCACTTCCTGAAGCCATTCTCTCTGATACACAAAGATGACCACTCGCTATATGAAACCAAAACCACCGCGAGTTAGTCCATCATAAAACCACATTCCTCTACCGGGAAACTCTTCCCCATGAAACCTGATTTGTCATCTCCCTTTGGTTCACTTCAGATTCAGGGCAAGAGGTCACCTTTGGTTTGATTTGGGGGTACAGGCGTCTCCTAGGTTCAAGTTCCTTCCCTCCCGTTACCCGCTCTCCCGACAAGCTCACTGCTCTCTCCAGTGACACTTGGTACGGGAGTTAGACCCAGTCTCCTTTTTCACGTTTTCTAGTACAACAGACAGACAGTGGCGATTATGTGATTGTTAAGTCACCGTCCTGGACGGCAGAGCGCACAACATGCGTGAACAACACAAGCCAGTGCAGCCCCAGCCCTGCTTCATCAGCCTCGGGGTTTTGACTCACCGTAGCTCCAGACGTCACTCTGGTGGGTATAAATTCGGTGTAAAATGGATTCCAAAGCCATCCACTTGATAGGCACCTTGGGATGATGAGAGAGGAAAGTAAGAAGACAACAGTTAGCTCCCCGCTGTTGAAAAACAGTAAATCACACCGGAATAAATTACAAGCAACGAAGGTGAGGACGCCGGGCCACCCCCAGCCCAGCCCAGGCCCAGTGCACCTTCCCAGCCGGTAGGGAGAGGCTTAGTCTGGTAGAGAACAGGGCCTCTGTCAGGCCCAGAGCTGAGGCCCTTTGGTCCGTGGGCTGTTCTGCTGAGCTGGGTGCACGTGCTGGCAGCTGGGGGCCCTGGCTGTGCCCTGCGTCTGTGGCTGTTTGCAGGGCTAGCTGCTTGGAGCCGTGCGGGCCACAGTGAGAGCGAAGACGGGAGCAGCTGAGCCAGGGCGTTCTGGAGGGCCTATCAGGACCCCCGCACCCCTCGCTGCTGGGACAGCCCCCTGGAGAAGCCCCGGGCCCGTCCGAGAGGAAGAAGCCAATGCGGCCGCGGCCAGCGCCCCTCAGGAGCTGCTGGAACAACATGGGGCCCTTCCCGTGCCGCTCTCCCAGCTGTTCTTCTGAGAGGGGCTTTACCCAGGACTGGGAGGTTGACACCTACCCTTGGCTAACGGTCACCTAGCGATGGAGCTGAGCTCACGTGTACCGCCTCTGGCCTCTGGGTGTGTCAGAAACCTCTTTACGCACCTTCCCAGCAAGTCCTGCTCCGCGGGCAGCTCTGGCTGCACGGCCAGAAGAGCCTGGCTGGACCCGGGTGCTGGTGGCAGCTGTGAGCTCACCCAGCAGGCCCCGAGGGTGGCCCCACCCGGGGCAGCCTGCTGGCAGGGCAGTGCTCGCCCTTTACAGGCCCGCGCCTCACCTTGCCCCCCTCCGCGTGGTATTCTTTCTCCTCGGCGCCGAGCAGTTTGGCCAGGCCGAAATCCGTGATCTTGACGTGCTGCGGCGTCTTCACCAGCACATTCCTGGCCGCCAGGTCTCGGTGCACCAGGCGCCGGTCTTCCAGGTAGTTCATGCCCTGCAACACGGGGCGGCGCGGTGAGGGGCGGGTGCTCAGCGGGCTCCCCTGGAGGGCGCGGCGGGGATCAGACAGAGGGCGGGCGCCCCAGCGCAGGGTGCAGCGTCACGTACGCGACAGCCTCCGAGCCGGAGCCTGCCTGCGGACGGACTGCCCTCCACGGACACAGTGACTTGCACCTGGTAACATCAGTGACCAGAGTCTACCTGCTCCACGGACGAAAAGGGGAAGAGATGAAGACATAACTAGCTGCTGACTTACTACCTTATCTCCATCCAGTTACTCAAGTTTCAAACTCAGCTGAACAAATAGAAGAAGCCAGTGACGCAGCAGGAGCCCCGCCGTCGGGCCGTGACCTGGTTACACGCTGCTTCCTGCTGGGGACGGCCGACCCCACCTGCCCGGCCTCGCCTTCCCTGCGCCAGCGCGTCTGGGGCGCCACCTCCCCAGGACCCAGGGCTCTCATCACGCTTTCCTGGAGCGTCGTACGTGATTCACTACCAGTGAAGGTTTCGGTCCTGTTTTATTTTCTCTTTTTGAAATTGAAATCACATGGATGTTGAATTTGCTTTTATGGATACAAGGTGCCACTCCCTACCCCCTCCCTGGCTGCCTCCACAACTGCTGTAATCAGAATCAAGGCTGGAAGAGAAAGAAAGACAGAATACTTGAGAAGTACCCAGCACAGTGCCCGAGACATAGTGAATCCTCGGAGGTACCGTCAGCCCTTGGTACCCGTGAGACTGGTTCCGGGACCCCCTCTCCCTGCCACCCCCCTAACCAAAATCCGTAGATATTCAAGTCCCTTATAAAAAATGGAGCAAGTGTTTGTTACCTACGCACATCCTCTTGCATACTTTAAGTCACCACTAGATTACTTATAACACCTCATACAATGTACATACTTGTAAACATAATGTAAATGCTATGTAAACAGTTGCTTGCATCCAGCCAATTCAACTTTTGTTTTTTGGAGCTTTCTGTAATTTTCTTCCCACATATTTTTGATCCACGGTTGGCTGACTCTGCAGATGCAGGACCCCGGCTACGAAGGGCTAACTGTGTGACCCCTCACCTCTAGCCCTTGTCCACAGCCTCCTTGGTGTCTCTGTCACCTGCCCTTTCTCCCCTGACAGGCGGGCTCACTTCCTGCCCCTATTCATGGCTTGAAGCCTGCCCAGCTGAGCCAAGCTTCCCTTGGACCCTCGCAAGCTCTAACCCGTTGACATGAGCTTGGCAGCCCTCGCCCCTGTGCAGGGCCAGACGGGCAGGCAGGAGAAGCCAAGCCGGAGGGTCAAGTTCTGCACACGGCCCGTGTGGCTGGAACCACGTCCTCTCCTACTTGCTCACAAAGGCGCCTCTCCTCTCCCCAGCCAGGGAGGTGGACCACATTTCCAGCCTCCTTTACAGCCGACACCCATGAACTCTCCTCCAGTGAAGGGCAGGCACCACAGAAATGCTTACCGAAGGGCACAAAATGGAAATGAATGGGCAAAACCAACTCTGCATTACTCTCGAGCCTTTTGCATGTAGCTCTCTTCATTTTAGTGCAAATGCAGGGAATACCTCTGTAGATAAGGATAGATCCCAAATTTTCTGGCAAATTCATTGCTTCCTTTTGCATAAGATATTAGGTAAAAATTACTAATTAACTTGTCACATCAAAGTGAAGTTTACAAAATTTCCTTCTAGAGTTAAACTAGCCATCACAGGAAAACAGGATCTTGTAAAGACACTACCCAGGAGTTAGTCTTTGAGGGCTATTTTCGAAGCCTTTAATGTTTTTCTTTTCTTGGGGGAAAAGAAAAAGATTCCCACGTGTCCACTGTATTATCTAGAAAGCTCCTGAATGTTTAAGATGCTGTTTGATTTAAATGGTTCCTTTCTAAGATGTCTCAGGTGTCGGGAAATAAGGTTAATGGGCTCATGTCTATTCAAGAGGAGGTGGGCAGGTGCTTCCCTGGAATAGCACTTCCAGGTTAGGAATCATTCCTTCGGGATGGAGCGTGGAGAGGAAGACAGAAGCAGGGCTTCCTAGCAGAGGAGAACTTCCTACTCCCTGGCACCTCCCCCGCTTCACGGGGCTCCTTTCAGCAGCATCGTCTCCCCTGTGGTTCACTAAGCCCACAGGAGGACTTCAGAGGGCATTTCCAGCTACATTTTAACTATCGTGAACTTTCTTTCTGCCTCTTTACGTGCCTAACAGAGGATCTGGTGCACTGGATACATTTTTTACAAAAGCTCGCTGAAGATGACGGAAGGAAGGGATGAATGAATGATAACAGCGGCCGACAGTTCCGAGCCAGGCACTTCAAACACACCTGCGAAGATGCCTCTCCTGGTGCTGGGAGGTCCGGTAGCCACACAACAGCCTCGACAGCTGCCCCAGGGCCCCAGGGCTCTGAGGCCACCACTGGGACCGTGCCCTTAATTTCCTGCTGGGGCCTCCAAGTGAGACTTGTCTGCAGACCCAGAGATTGCTTCCGACGGATGCCACACCCCAGCATCTTGGCCCTGTGCCGCCAAGCTGAGCGTGCCCAAGGGCAGGTGGATGGGAATCTAACAAAGGAACTAGCTCCACCCCCGCCCCTCCCTCCCCACCCACCCCCACCCGCCTCAGATTTTTAAAGGAGCAGAGCAACTGCAATGCACTGCAACGTTTTCTCGTAACACCAGCCTTCAGAGAAGGCTTGGGAAAGGGCAGGAAAGAGCAGTACGTGTCTGGAGCACACAGCTAGAGGGATTTAAATCAGACATAATTTTGGGACAAGATTAGACTCATTTGAACTTAGATAAAACTCTATTCCTTGGTCTCTGTCCCACATAATGTGGCGGTTTGAAAGGCCATCTCAGTTGTAACTCTAGGCCCAGCAGAGTTATAGTTTAACCAGCACCAAAGATAAGAGCCCTGACATCGCTCGTAAACTCTCAATCCAAACAGAGAACCACAGGAAGCAATATCATCAGTGTCAGCCTCATGGGGCCTCTCGGAGACGCATTCTCTCTGAGATCCTCACTTTAACTGAATGGAACGTATTTATTTTGCTAGTTAACAGGACAGCTAGGATGGATGCGGCAATCCTGAGGTTAAAAGGGGATCTGAAGAGCCACCCTGGGACCTGAACGCACAGGAGACACAGGACGCTTCACGAGGGTTTTAAAGACTTTCCTCGCACAACACCCGGGGAAGGAGAGAGGCCTGGGCTGGGTGTGACACATACGGACCGTATTCCCAGGCCCTGCAGCACCCTGCAACTCTTAGGAGGCGCCCAGAGCAAGAGGCAGGAATGCGCTGCATTTCTAGTGTATTTTTTCACCACCTTGTGGGGCAGTGGTGGGTAGTGGGGGCGGACACTGACTTGGTGACTACGGAGGTGGCAGGATAGGAAGCGGGGGGTAGGCAGAAGGTTCTGGCAGAGTAAAGCAAAGCACGGCGTCCACACCACCGAACCCCTGCCCTCAGAAGAGGCAGGGAAGTGTCCGAATTTCCTATGCCAGGCCCCAACCTCCTGCTGTGTAGGGACAGGAGGCCTGCTAGGCTCACCAGCCTGTGGGCTCCACTCTGACCCGTGACATCAAGTGCTGGGGAAAAGCACAGCCTTGGGAGCAAGGAGCCCTGGGGTGGAATCTTGATTTTGCTACTTCCTGGCTTGAGACCTGGGCAAGTTACTTCAACACCCCTTGCCTCACTCTCCCCCATATGTAAAACGGGCTACTCAGAGGATTAAGTGAGTTCATCAACGTGGAGCACTTCGGACGGGGCCCAGAGAGTCCTCCCTCAGTGCTGATTGCCATCATTTCCTCCTAAATGTGAAATCCATCCTCTCTTCTCCACCCCTGTGCCATGACCTGGAATTAGGCTGCTGCCACGTCCTGCTACACTTCCCAACGAAGTCTGATCACGAATAACTTCCCGCGCGGCGCCCTTTGCTTTCGTGATGAAGCTGCGCTTGTGGGTTCCTGCGGGGTCTCCCCTCCCCTCCGGCAGCCCTCAGTGTCTCTTGGCCACCTCTCACTGCTGCCTCAGATGGTCCCCAGGACAGGGACGGGCTCTCACTCGTGTCCACAGCACCAGAGCCACGTCCAGGCTCCCAAGGGTGCAGGGCGGCTGCCTCACCACTGCCGTCCCCGCACCTGGCGCTTGGCTGGCCGACTGAGCCCACCTGGCCGTGCCCATGTGACGCCCAGAGCAGCCTCTGGGAGTCTGGTCCCTCGGCTCTCCTGCTCTGACCCGCTCATTTCCTGCTGCACTGTTACCTCTGTATGGATCTGTTCTCCTCATCTGTTTGCAAGTTTGGGGAGATAGGAAATTCTGTCTTCTTTATATAAGTATTTCACATGATACCTGACACTGACAGATGTATGCTCAGGAAGTCACCAAGTGAAATGACCAGAAGTTGATGAATGTGCTTTAACAGTACGACAACTTTTGGCTTTATAGTGACATACTGTAAAGTGATCGTTCAGGTTAAGTTCAACTGTAATCTTGTGGAACGATGTGAGAATAAATAAAAAAATAATTCAAATAAGTAGACTATCTGGTAACCGGATCTGCTGTGTGGCTGTGTCCCTGTCTGCGGTCTTGCTGCCCAGGGTTTCACGCAGGTACCTGCTCTGCCGCTGAATCAGCTCTTAGGAAGCGTCTTCCTCTCTAGCCGGGTGGATGGAGGCTGGAGGCCGGAGGCTGAATCATCACCCTCAGGCTGCACAGTTAGTCAGCAGGGTGGGGGCTGCCTGGAACCTCACCTTTCACCTCCAGGAGTCCTGATGTGGAGCACAGGAAAGCCAGGCAATGGGGGAGCAGACGTGGGCGTGAAGGCCAGAGCCACCTGGGCCCAGACAGGAGGCCGTGCACAGGCCGGTCAGCATCTCCCCCTGCCCCCGAAGGCTGCGCGAGGCTGACAGACAACAGCCCCTCTTGCGGCCCCTCTTCCAGCATGATTTTCATTCTCTCCCACCCCTGCTCATCTCTCATGACCAGGCTCTAATTTGTCGATGTGGGTGTCACGACACGGCAGCTAGACCCAGACACGAGTGGCCAGCATGCTCTGCTACGTCATCGGCAGGACCACCTTCCTCTCCTCACCTGGATGGGTCTTCCCTTCGCTGCTCTCGTGCCCTGAAAGCGCCTATAAATGTGTGAGCAGTGAAAACGCTGGGGCTTTTTCAGATGAATTTAGACCAAACTAAGTATCCCGTCTGCTTAAAAAATGGATCCTTCGAACGGAATGTTTTCTGAAGTTCATCCTTATTAAGTCTCATCTTATAGAATGAACTAGGTGTAGTTCGGTGCGTGTGAAGTTGTGGTCGGTTTCCTTCTGACAGCATCCACCCACCCCTCGACCCCAGCCCCCAGCTACCTTCAAACCTCACCAGGGCCTGGTCAAGTATCTGAAACGTATATCGTCTCTCTAAAAACTCACTTCTGTGAGATCTTAATCCAGGTTAGGTGAAAGAAAGCTCTGTGGTCCCAAAGGTTTGTGAAAATGTGAAATTAATCACAGCCTAGAGAGCTGATTTATGCAGGAGTTGGCAGTCACGTGCTCTGCGGTGCTCTAAGAGGAATGAGCCTGGCGCGGCAGCGGTGTTCTCTAAACTGAATTGATGACAGACAGCATCTTTTGCATGCTAACATTTTACTACATTATTATCCCATCTAATTATTTTGGGATTCACTAGCTGGCTTATGCAGCCAGGAAGAATGCATACACTTTCCGAAGCACCAAAGTCACTCCCCGTGAGTGAGAGCCCCCTGTACCTTCCCGAGCCAGGAGCTTAGGAAGCGGTGATGAGGGAGCAGGTGACGTCTCGACGGCCTCCTGAGACTTGAGTCTAGAATCCACTCTCACCCTGTGTGGAAGGGCACCTCTGCTTTCCCAACCCCAGCAAGATTCCCCACTAGGCCACCTCTGTTTTTTTTTTTCTTTTTTTCTCTTGCCCGTGATATAATTTTATTTGTCCTCTTAGCAGTTTAGCCAGGACAATAAACCTGCGTAATGGTACCCAGGTCTCCATCAATCCTGGAAAACTTCCCAAGAGAGCCTGTGCCTTTGTGAATCAGGGAGGACATTTGTAAGTCAATAAATCCCACCTCGAAAACGCCACCAAGATGAGTTTCTGGTCAGCCACTAAGTGTTTCTGGGTAGTTTCACTTCTAACTTTTACAGAGAAAACTGTTCAATCCTTAGGTAAACAGTCACTAACCCAAGAGCAAATTTCTCTCTTTACAGCTGAAGAAACCATTACTTTCCTTTCCCTGCAAGGACAGACACTGCAGCGCCACAGCTATTCAAGTACAGTGCCTTAGGTTTCTCTTGTGAAATAGGGAGCAGCTCCGTCGCAGACCAATCTAACAGCTGCAACGTGAACCGACTTCGGATGAAAGTGAACCTAAACAGAGTTCAACCGGCAGAGCAGTGGATTGAAATAACAAGGTGAAATTCTGAGTAATATTATATAGAGCACTGTCTTGGAAAACTTGCAGGCCCTGGAAAGTCCACTCAGGAACTTTGGAAACTCATGGCTGACCAGGGCCCGGGCACAGCTGAACTCGCCCTGTGGCGGGCACTGCCGTGGTCAGGTGTTTGTTTCTTCCTCGTGCTGGCAGAGGACTGATTTTTGGGGTCAAATAAACTTCCATCTATGCAGACACTTGTGAGCAGGCAGATCTGAATGGAGGGTTGCCAAGGAGAGAAGGGGAAAAGCTCATGAACGAGAGAGGACCGGAAATAGGAGACGCTGCTCTAGGGAGAGAAAGTCGATATAGAACCAGAATGAGACAATGTTTCAGCTTAGATTTTCGTCACGAATCTAACTTAAATTAGTCAAAATATGGCGAGAGAACCAGAGAGGTGAGCATCGGGTGCGTACCGGGGCCCGAGTGGGCACCTCACAGAGGCTACCCGGCACCGTTCTCGCCACCGGGAGGACAGACGGCAGAGGCCCTTCTGCGGCCACAGAGAGGCAACTCGCCGAAGAAAAGCCAGAATTGAGTTGTGAATCTCGCAGAGTCACAAGCCCGGTTCCGTACCGGGCAGAACTTGCCAAGGCTATGCGTCGCATCACGTAAGAAGTCACTTTTGTGGAGCCGCCAACTGACACGAGATAATCAGAATACACTAAATACCCAGGCAGCCTCTGGGGAGCTGGGCCTCTTCACCCAGGCGGGCGTGCAGAGCTCTGGACGCCAAGGCCTGGCTCTGACGGAGCTCACCTCCCAGTTTCAAGTTAAACAAGTAAATAAACCAGGTCTTCGCAGGCAGCAAGATGTGTTTTCAAAACATAAAGCAAGTTAAGCAAGGTAAGCGAGGCTGCCTGGGGTGGAGGGGGATAGCTCTGGTGATTCTCCTGCCTTAGCTCATCAGCGAAGAGACTAAGGAAGAATTTCTGGGGACAGGAGTCAGGACACGAGTAAACCTCCAGGAAAAATGCCATATTCAGCGAAAACTACTTGGGGCTAACGACCTCCTCCCCGCCCCCAGCCTCTGTTCTGGGCTGAACAGCGTCCTCCCAGATCTCACGCCTACCCAGCACCCCAGAATGTAACCTTCTTTAGACATAGGGTTTTGCAGATCTAATCGGTTAAAGACCTTGAGATGAAGTCCTCCTGGATTTAGGAATGACTGGTGTCTGCTAAGAGAGAGGGTGATCTGGACTCAGGCCTAGGGCAGGAGGCCACGTGAAGACCGGGCAGAGACGGGAGGGACCTGGAGCCACCAGAGCTGGGGAGGGAGGAAGGATTCTCCCCTAGAGCCTTGGGAGGGGCACGGCCCTTCTGACACCTTGTTTGGAACTTCTGACCTCCAGAACTATGAGTAAGCTTCTGTTGTGGTAAGCCACTAAGTTTGTCGTGCTTTCTGGTGGCAGCCCTAGGAAACTAACACGGTCAGACAGAGAAATAACCAGCCTTTTCATGAGACCACAGCACGCGAGGCGCACAGGCTCTACCAGGACCACTGCCTAGCAGCGGCCACGGGACTCCTCTGCTCTGTGACTGGGGTTACGGCCGAGAGCACCACGCGATGGGCAGGCGTCCGAGAGGCACGCCCACACCGCCGCGTGCCAGAGCCTCCGGGGCTGTGGCTGAGACAGCGACCCCGACGGGCACTGGAAGAAGAGGGTTGAGGCGGCCTCCCACCGCCAGCCTCACCCTGCACCGCTGACCCCAGAGGAGCCCGTCCTGTAGCGAGCGTCTCAGGTGGCTGCAGGCTGAGCAGAGCCCAGAACACGTTGTCGTGTCTTCAGTCACCTTCTACGCCTGCTGGGGGTTGAGCGAGTGAGTTCAGAGCATCCGCAGGAGTAAATCTGCAGGACCGAGGGTGCTGCCGCCCTGGGTGAGGCGAGCAACCAGGACCTGGATGGGGCCTGGGGGACGAGGGGCGCCCTGTCCTCCCTGGTTCCTGCAGGCTCCCAACACCCGCCCCGGGGCTGAGGGCGGGGCCTGCCCACAGATTCCATTCATTCAGCGGAGTGAACGGTATACCCACTGTCAGGAGAAACAGAATTTAGCAAGTCGGGTTGCAGACAGCTGATGCACTACTGGCCTGAAGAGAGGGAGATCTGAAATGGAAGAACAGTCCTTGTGAGGCCGCATGAGCAGCTAACACCTGGCTCATTGCTGTGCTCCTGGTCTCAGCCCCACCTGGCCACTGTCTGCCCCCTCAGCCCCTCCCTCGCTCCGGATCTAGCCTGTCGACAGGGGGACGCGTACGGAGCCCCATGAAGCAGCAGAAACGTCTGTTCACCTCCTGCCACCGCACGTCGGAGCCAGCACCTGTCTGTCCACCCGGCCACTGTCACCTGACAGCCTTGGCCTGGTTTGCTGGCCTTGTGATCAAGTCCTGCCTGGGTGAAAGCCACACCTCCTCTTCTGCTCCAAATTCAACAAAAAGAATGCCAGGGAAACAAGAACACTAACATCAACCGTACTGAGAGCCCCCGGTGCAGAGAAAACTGTGCAAACGTAGCTGAATAATTAGATTTTCAACATGCAGTGGGATAGGCACCGATCTGATGCGAAGGACAACCGATTCAATTCAATCCAAACTAAAGAAGACTGCATGCCACGTACATGCATGTGCACACACATACACACACCCTCTTGGCAAACTCTATGCTGTCCTAGGATGGAGAACGTAATGATTAATTTCTAGGTTGTCTTTATTTCCCCTCTGCCGCTGTTCTCCAGGGCTCTCCCTCAGGATCGCATCATCCCAGGAGGTGAGGCTGGGGCGGCAAAGCGACGGCAGCCACCAGCGCTGCCTCGTGGCCCTGCCTGCCCTCCCTGCAGAGCTGGGCGCCTGCTCCGAGCACGCTCTGATTTACCTTTGCGATCTGCACGCACCAGTTGAGCAGGTGCTGGGAGCCGATGTTGTCCTTGTGCTCGCGGACATAGTCCAGCAGGCAGCCGAAGGGCATGAGCTGCGTGATGAGCTGCACCGTGGACGTCAGGCAGATGCCCAGGAGGCGGCACACGTGCGGATTGTCCACACTGGCCATCACGTAGGCTTCCTGGGGGGAGAGGAGGAGAGGGCGCATCAGAAAGGCTCCCCGCCGTGGCTAAAGGAACAGGCAGACAGCCCATTTCCGGGTACAGAAGTCGAACACGATGTTGAGTTTGGAAATGTGCGCGTGTGGAGGACAAGGGTGCCCGTGAAACGTCTAGTGCAGTGGACGTTCCCGTGGGGTCTCTTGCACGCGAGGCTGTGGAGTGGCTTGATGGGAGACGGCGTCCTCTGAGTGCACGTGCGGATTCTGCATCACAGAGAGGCCCGGGCCGCGCTCGCCATCGGCAAAGCGTTGGGTGAAAATGAGACCTGACGTCTCCAAGTTTGGGCGTTGCTGAGTCCTTACGAAGACCTCCACCTCAAAGCCAAAGATGCCGCCGCTTAAAATGGTGTCAGGGCCAGTGGGAACCCGTGCTTGGGGCCCACACCCTGGTGAAGACTTGCCCGCTGACTCCGGAACCCCGGCCTTGGGCACCGTGGAAGGAGATGCTGAGAGCTCTGGGGGGGGGGGGGGGGGGGGGGGGGGGGGGCCCCCCCCCCCCCCAGAGCCCCGGGGGCAGAGGGGGGGGCCCCCCCCCCCCCCCCACACTGCCGGGACCACGGGAACCGCTGCCACGCACAGCAGAGAAGCCCTTTCAGTGCACCGTTTCTGGCTCTGAACCGGACGGAGGACGTTACACCTACAGCGATTGCAGACTCTGCTGGCGGCCCAGGATTCATTTCTGAAGAGGTGGTCTGTGTCGCCCCACCTCAGTCTTGGGAAGGGAAATCCATGCTGCTCTGCAGAACCCACTCCCCACAGCCCCGCCCCTGCTAATTCGGAGGCTGCCGTGGCGGGAGCCCGGCACAGACCCACAGCCATGGACTTTATCTGAACCCTTCTGCTATCCTTGGGCGGAGGAAGCGGATTTCATTTACAACCATGCACATAACTGGGCCTCGCTTTTGTCTAAGAATTAGGGAATCCTCAATTTCCACCAAGAAACTCCATCTCTTTGCCTTTAGAATCCAAAGGGGGGGGGTGACATTTTATACAGACACAGAAGGGACCACCTGGTCTCCAAGAGAAAGTTCAGAGGCGCCTCTCCCCACCTGACCGCTGCTGTGCTCGGGGGTGTGGGCCCTCTGTGCAGAAGGGAACACGGCCTGGGCCAGGTGAAGGCACGCCAGGGGGGATGCTGGGGCAGGCACCGCAGGAGCCAGAGGTGACAGTGGTGACAGACAGGTGGAGGGGCACGTACACACATCCCTAAACACAAACGTGATGGCCTGAACCCCTCCCCTGGCCTCACTGTTCCTGGGGAGCCCGCCAGGCCTCGCAAAGCCTCTCCTCCCACAGACCCCCGGTCCTCCTTCTTCTCTGCTCCCCAACTCTGCTCGCCCGCACCCGGGAGGGCCTTTGTCTGGAATGCCCTTCCACCTCCTCTTTCCCTGGCTGACCCCTCCTCAGAGGGCATCCCTGAGCCCCAACCTAAGTTAAACTCTCCCGGCATCTCGCAGTTTCTCCCTCGGGGGAGCAGGCTCAGTACGGCCCGCGAACTTGCCAGAGACGCCAACCCTCGGGCCTCACCCGGGGCAGGTGTGCCGTGTGAGATGCATGGAGCTGGGGCTTATCACCTCACCTCCCCAACACCTGCTCCTGCTACGTCACTCCCGTGCTGCCCAACACATCTCTAGGCACAGAGCTGCCTCAGAAATACCACGGCCGAACGACACTGAAATCATACGAGACAGAGACCATGCCACGTCCACTACGGAAAGAAACCCACAGCTCTGACATCCGCTGCAGAGCCACCGTCTGTCTGGACGCTGCCCCAAGTGGAGACGCCCTGCTCTCACAGGCAGTCGGCCTTTCTCCTCGTCCGTGTTGCAAACGCGGCATCACAACAGCAGAGCAGGTGTTTAATGCTATGGACCTTCTGACAGCTCTTCACCTTTGAGAAGGGCTACTGATAAAAAGTTAACACTGGAGAAGGCCTGCAAGTGGTTTCTTCTCAAGCCGTTATTTGTCTGAAGAGAAAACTGAGGCCCAGTGAACGACGACCAGAGACCACATTTCTTATGTCAGGGCGGGGCCCACACCCGGGGCTCCCCCGACCCAGGCCCTCCTGGCCCTCCCCCGCTTACCCCACGCACCGCGAGGCCTTGTTGAGTGCTCCGGCAGATGGGCCACCAGAAAGCGCCACACCTTATGACACAGAAAGAGCACGTATATAAATGTGTTTTGCATTCTCGTTCTGTTGCCTGCCCTAAATTTAAACTGGAAAGTCTATGGAAACATCAATAGGCCGTGCGATCGCCAGAAAAGCACAAATCACGTCTCTCCCCCAGTCTGGGAAACTGTACAACCATAACACCAAAGAAATCCCCTGGCTGTTCTTATTTTCTTAAGATCTGGTGGAGACTTGGAAACATGTTGTATTCATTTTAGAGGGGAGAGAAATCTGCAGATCAGAGCAGTCTGAGCGGCCCATCTGCTGCGGGCCGTGGGGAGCTGACCTGGGGCTCGGGGAGCAGAGCATGGGCGTGGGTGTCCGGCCACACAGAGCCTGGAGCCCTGCCAGGACCCCGCTCCTATTAAAATCTGGTACAGCCACAGATTTCTGCCTCCCGAAGCCCGGGCACAATGGGGATGCTGTCTGGTGGTGTGTCCTGTTCAGTGTGTGCAGGAGTTAACATGAGCTTTGTCCTCAGCTTTGTTTTTCTTGGAATCTCAAAGGTGCACTGTGACCTATGGCAAGAACGCTTGGTATATCCCCCAGCCATCTCTGATCGGCCACCGCTGCCAGGCGTGCAGACTGGCAGGCAGAGCCCACGCTCGGAGGCTCCCAAGGCTGAGGTCAGAGTCACGTGGCAGGAGGGCCTCTGAGGCTCAGTGACCTTGAAAGTCTATTATTTTGTCCAACCGTTGAAATTTGGGGGGCCTTCCTTCTTGCCGTCTCCCTTATCTGTGAACTAGTTTACGTTAAAGATTGGGGAAAAAGGATTCCACTAGACTTTAAACTCCTTCAGGAGAGGCAGATGCTTAACTTTAAGAATATTTCTGAAAGTGTCCCATTAACTAAGTCACCACTGACCGCAGTGTGCGCCAGGGCTGGAGGGTGTGTGTGCTGGACCTCAGTGCTGGCCTGGGTAGGGGAATAAGAGTACGGGTTGCTGGAGCCATTTACAAGTGCGTGTGAGTGTTTCAAAGCCCACGCTCAGGGCTTCCCTGGTGGCGCAATGGTTGAGAGTCTGCCTGCCGATGCAGGGAACACGGGTTCTTGCCCCGGTCCGGGAGGATCCCACATGCCGCGGAGCGGCTGTGCCCGTGAGCCATGGCCACTGAGCCTGCGCGTCCAGAGCCTGTGCTCCGCAATGGGAAAGGCCATAACAGTGTGAGGTCCGTGCACCGAAGCCCACGCTCAGCCCCCTGGGCTGCCTGTCACAGAATTAACTTGCCTTTTAACTCACTGTTGAAACTGTCCCTCAAATCACTGGCGGCTGCTTCAGCTTTCCCTTCCCTCAGGGACTCCCCACGGCTGCGCCCACCCTGCGAGGACAGGCTCCCTGTGTATGTGGGGCAGAGGGAGCTTCGGGAACAGCAGGCGGAGGGCCTCGGGCTGCCACCCCTCTGGTTACAGCCACAGGACAGGTGTTAGAGCAGGAAGAAGAAAACGGGGTGGGTGGGGGGACGCAGGGAGAGAAGGAGAGCAGGACAGAGACGGCGCAAGAGGCGAAATGGGACGTCACACTTTTTTTTTTTTTACCTTGTCTTTCCTTTCTCTATCTTCTACCCCAACTCTGGCCCACGAAAGCAGATTTCCTCCAGTTTTAGGGGTCCTGGAGGGCCCTTCTCAGTGAAGCTACTTCCTTCCCAAAGTATAGCTACTGTCTTCAAAATCGCCCTTACTCTGCGTAGTGAATATTGTTAGAATTCACATCTCAACACCGTTTTGTGAAAGTTATTAGAATGTCTTAAATGAGTAACAAATGAATTAAGGAAGCCAATTCTGCAGAAAGATTTTCTTTTTAACAGTGTAGGAGAAGGAGCTAGAGGCTGAAAGTGAAGAGACTTCACAAATCACTTGTTTGCTGTACTTCTTGTGGTTATGGAAACAGGAGTCGACGTTACGTTAACAGACCGTATGTTAATTTGTAAACTGTGAAAATGAAAGATAACTTTGCCTGGTAAGCTATCATCAGTGTGTGAGACCTTCTGTTGCACTGTGTTAATACATCATCCTTCAAGTAGAAGATACTGGCGTGGGACTTTCCTGCTGCGATGAAAGGAGAGGAGGCTGCCTGGAGAAAATGGGGTTGGAGAGAGTGCGCTCCTGGGAAGCTCACTGTCTGAACATTTTTAAAAAGGCCCATGTTTGCTTTGCTTACTGTATATTCTGTGGGTTAGATACAAGAGTGGGGAAATGTTATATTTGACCTTTGTCCTTCGTGGCTGTAACACGAACTAAGTTCTCTAGATTTTTGACTCAGTAAAGGCAGTCGTTTTCCTTTTTCATTGACTGTTTCCCTAATTCACCGCTGAGCCCCTCCAGCTCCTCTTTCACTGGCTCTGCTTTGGGACAAGAGCAAGAGAAACCCACATCCACCACGGCAAGCGGAGGCCAGCGCTGTTAGCCCGGGACCCCAAGGGTGTGTCCACCGGAGCTTCCTGAGCTTCTACCTGCAGAGGGTTCTGCCCAGCTCCAGGCTGGCCCCTCCTGCAGCCAGCCTCTTTCTAAGACTGTGCAGCCCCCTCACTGGCTAGTGAGGGTCCGGGGAAGGTGGAAAAAGTTCAAGAGAATCGCAAGTAAACACATGTAACAATAATCTTGTGGAGTATTTCAAAGAGTCCATAAAGTAGCAATCAGCAGATGCTGGAAATAACCTTTAAATTACTTTGAGAGAAAGTACAGAAGGGGAGCAAGAGATTATAGAGTTCATAGAGCATCATAGTGTTAATCCTAGGCACCTTTACAAAGCCATTTCAAAGATTAGCTAGCTGGTGGAAGAAAACGAACATGCATTTCAGAGTCAGAAGTAACCACATGCTGGAATCCTACCCCAGCCACGTGACCCTGAGCATCAGGCTGCTGCATGCCTCCGTTTCTTCACTGAAAGCTTGGCGAGCACAACACCTAGAGAAGCACAGGCCCGCCAGTGGCAGCCACTGAGACGGCAGGGGTAAAGCCATGAGCCCGGGGACGGCCCCCGGTGGATGCCCAGGGACCGCAGGCTTCCGTACTTTTGGAGGCCGATAAGAGAATGGAAGAGTGAGTCTTCTCTACGAGAGAGAATTACACCAACTATAGCCAGAAGGAAAAAAGCCAGGAAAAGCGACCATGTAGAATGCGGTGATGACAGAGTCTAAAACAGAGCAATGTGCTGCCAACCACGAAGAAAGGTGGCTTCTGGCTTCCAGGCCTGCAGAGAGCTAGAGAATAAAGCAGAAACTCACATCAAGAATCTCCTTGTTGGCTTTTGGAGATGTGGCTTCTCTTAATTCCTTGATAGCCACAGGAATTTTAACCTTCTCGCCTTCTGGGATCCAGAGTCCCTGTGACGAAGAGAGGTGAAGACATTGGCTGGCAAGCGTCATACACGTAACAGGCGGCTCCTAGGCTGGCTGGGCATCATTCGTGACCCCAGCCCAAAGGGCGAGGGGCTCGAGCACGGCTCTGCACCCAAGGCCACCGGTGCTGGGAGTCACGACAGCTCAGCAGCTCTTTAGCTATCACGTTCCAGAAATCAGAGTAGTTAGACAAAACCCCTAAGCTCGTGCCAGTTACACAGTCAGTGTGAGTCATTTTGTCCAGAATTCTGAGATTCCGGGTCTAGGCCTAACTGCAACCAGACTATGCAATGGGGATGTAGGAGAGAGAAATGAAGAGGAAGCTGTTCTGAGCTGGGCTTTATTCAGATGCTGCTGTGCCGTGACAGGCAACCCTCTCTCAGACGGACCTGTACCACCCACCCCTCGGAAAGCTCACACTGAACTCCTGAAAATGTCTGTGCCTCTGTACAGATCTCACCGCACCAGTTACTTGTCACTGGGATTATAAAAGATTTCCTCTAGACAACTTGAGAAAAACACTGGCTCTTCCTAAACCCTCAGTGACACAAAGAGCACGTGACCACGATAAAGACCACCGCGGAAGGCGCCCGGGACCCTCGGGGGGCTCACCTTGTACACCGTGCCGAATGCTCCGGAGCCCAGCACCTTGACCTTTTTTAATTCCGTCTCCTTTAAGATCCTCAAGAGAGCTTGGTTGGGAGCTTCTCCGCTGGGCGTCAGAGGCTCGACAAGCTGTGACAGACAAGAGGAAGAGACGATGCCTGCCGGGCCGGGGAGAGGGGTGGCAGGTCCAGACACCAGGGGACAGAACTCGCGGCTCTCCCTCCGGAGACAGGGACGCCTGTTCTAAGGCACTTGGTGAGACGCTCGGAAGGAACAGGGACTGACCCCTCCCCCCCTCAAAAAAAGGCATCCTTGAACAGAACGGCTCCTTTGCAATAAGTGCAATTTCTATTTCTGTGTCCGGGCCGAGAACACTTGGGGAAGGACAGTGTTCTGTGGTGGTCACTCTGCTAACCGGTCGGGCCCCTCACAGCCGTTTTGCTGTAGCTGCGGCGGGTCCCTCTTCCCAGGGCCTCTGGCTTCTGACACGTTGTCGGACACGGATGCCGGTTGAGAAATCACGGACAACACGGTCACAAAGGAGCAGCCGCTGGTGTGGACAATGGCATTTTGCAAAGTAACACCTCCTGAGCTCACGTTTCTGCGCGCCAGCCTTCCCCTTGGCCGGCCCGAGCGCCCGCCCCACGTGGGCAGCGGGCGCCCCGGCTTGGGAACCGGCCGTGGGACTTACCCTAGACACAGCTGCATTCCCCTGGATACAAGTACTAACATGTGCATGGAGTTGCTTATAACTGGACATTCAGAGATTCTTCCGACTTTTTCCTCGCGATAAAAAGAGCACAGTAATACATCTTCAAGACGCAAGCCTCGGGCTGCCGCGCCTCCCCGCCCCCTCGCGCGCGGCGCTCACCTCGCGCTCCTGCAGCAGCCGGCGCAGCGTGCGCTTGCGGACGATGCGGCGCCTGCGCAGAAAGAGGCCGACCCCCAGGGCCAGCACCAGGGCCAGCAGCAGGGCGCCCACCATCCCGGTGGCGATGGACGGAATCCTGGGCCTGGAACGAGGTGGACACGCAAAGGGGTGAGGTTTGTTACCTTCTTGGCATTTCACATATTTCCCGTACGTTCTAATAGCATGACGTCATTTAGGGCTAGCTCAGAAAGTGGAATACGGCGCAGCTCGTAAAGGAGAAAGGAGGGCGGACTTGGAGCCCCAGGGCAGGGTTTCCAACTTCCTTCAGCATAGGAGCCTGCTTTGTCGCATGTTTTACACTGAGGTATCATTTGGACTTCTCCCTACAAGATCATACTTTTCATCTGTTGATTAAGAAAACACATCATTTAAAAAGTAACTCAGAGTTCAGTCATGCTTTTCATATGAATCTGTGTGGCTTCCCCGGAGTGTCTCCACGCGTTTGAGGCACGCCCTCCGTGACACTTGCGATGTCTGCTGGCCAGGCTGGAAGGAGGGACCCTTTCAAACCTGTGGAGACTTCCCGAGGGGTCCGGGGCTTTCAAGATGGGACCAGAGCCGTAGGAAGTGCTGTAGCATGAGTGTGGAGGGGGTGAGGAAGTGACAGGATTTCCACACGGACAGCAGAGCTGTCAGGGATGAGTGATGTCATCGTGCAGCCACCCCTCCCCCCATAGAGCTCGGGTCAACAAACACCCAAAACTCAGGTTCTAAAGCTCACGGGGAAAGAACCGTCTGAATTAGTAGATTCTGAATTTAGAATCTTCATAAAGCTTTTATTCTCCAGCACCTGTGCCATCTAAGCTTCTGGCAAACTTCATATTTTCAGGTAGAAATGTTAATGAATATCAAAGATTAATCAGTAGCACCGTTTGCACCTAAAAAAATGTGCCAGTGTTCTTACAGATTTCTCATAAGTGGGTCAAATGTACTTCACGTAAATGGTATTGATGACACTTTCTTCTTAGCAAGTGCAAAAGTCATCTCCTGAGTTATACCATCTTCCCAATTAATGCAGTTTGAATTAATGGGTTTTTACCATTTTGAAGGGGACACTGAAAGATATAAGGAATAAGTTGTACAGAGTATGTGTTCCATGGGAAGTAGGGGGAGTGAAAAGAGAAGAAAAGAATTAAAAGGGTAAAAATATAACAAAGAATGGTCGTTGACCGGTTTCAGGGTGGGGATGGGACGGAAAACCTCATCACTAAGACGCTGATTGAAGCACGAAGAGAGGACGAAGCTTGCTGGTGTCCTCGTGGCTCAAGTGAAGAGGGGCGTAAAAGGAAATCTTTATCTTTGAGAAACTGCCCTATTTGTCTTTCGTGTCTCACTTGATAGCAGGAGGGATCAGTTATCTTGGCTAATTCTTCGGCAAGAGACTGAGCTGACTGGCATTGAGGAAGGTTGTTGAGGGGAGGAATTCTGTAAACATTACTGGAGATGGCAGAGGTTCCTGGACGTTTGGCTGCTGTTTGGGGATAACTGGTCAGTGTCTTGTGTATAATTCTGATTCTTCGATAGACATTATTAATTGGTAGTATCACTCTTTCCTGATGAGTCTGAACAGGAAGTCCCAATTCTGCTTTTCTCTGTGCAGCATTTCAGGCAATGACGGCAAAGGGATCACAACTGAAATGCTGAAGGAAGTCCTGTGTTTAGGAAAGGAAGTAAGGGGAGAAAGTCTCCCAAGGTGGAGCTCTGTCATTGAACAGACGGGTCATTCAAACACAGGTTTGTGGTAGGGCCAACTGGGTCAGCGAGGAAAGAGGAGGGAAGCTGGAAGAGGAGAAGGACCCAACAACCCTGGTGACCTAGGGAGCAGGGCTGCGTGTAGAAGCGCTGGGCCGTGAGGCTGCGTCCGCGTGGAGGGGCCCAGCACTCCTGTCCTGCCCTCCCCCCTGGCCCCAAAGCACAGCCAGCAGCATGGGCAGGGTGAGCTCTGCTAGGAATGCCCAGGCTGGCCCAGGGTGAAGTGAGAACCAGCCAAGGCAGAGGGCCGTCGGAAAAGAGGGAAAGCACTACCGTCGCCCACAGCGCTCTTGGTCATTTCTGATCAGGTTATCGCATACAGTGTCACACTTACCCACTCACTGCACAGCCTTCAGAACCGGGCCCAGCACAGCTGTAGGAATTGAAAGAGAAATACACATTTCGATCATTTTACTTCTTTAGAAACCTATGGGGTTTCTAGCAAGAAGCTATGGACAAGGGAGACGCTCATAGGGAGAGCTCAGCCAGTTTACATTTGAAGAGCTGATGGACAAGGGTAGTGACTGGACAGGTGCCCTAAGAGGGAACCACCTGAGTGTCAAAGGATTAAGGGGTCCTTGGGAAAGCTGGTGGTACCCTGCATAATTCTGCAGAAATGATTGTCAAATATCAAGCAAAAGAGGCCATATCATGCTATCGTTTAATTTTGTCAGAAAAATTATTCCTTGTCTCCCACTTGATTTATTTTTTGTTACATGTAATTAAAATAGGCAAAGTTTCGTGTCATTTCGTTTAATTTATTGGCATAAAATTTCAAAGAAACCATCCCCTGACGACTTACTATAAAATGTGCTTCCGTTTAAAAGTGGATTTGCGGACTTCCCTGGTGGTGCAGTGGTTTAGAATCCGCCTGCCAATGCAGGGGACAAGGGTTCGAGCCCCGGTCCGGGAAGATCCCACATGCCGCGGAGCAACTAAGCCCGTGTGCCACAACTACTGAGCCTGCGCTCTAGAGCCCACGAGCCACAACTACTGAAGGCTGCACGCCTAGAGCCTGTGCTCCGCAACAAGAGAAGCCACCGCAATGAGAAGCCCATGCACGGCAACGAAGAGTAGCCCCCGCTCACCGCAACTAGAGAAAGTCTGCACACAGCAACGAAGACCCAACGCAGCCAAAATTTAAAAAAAATAAATAAAATAAATAAAAGTGGATTTGCTTCAAGTTTGCTGACCCATTCCCTGGGGTAAGCAGACTTGCCCTGTGGGAAGGGCACGGCTTCTGGAAGCAAGCATGCACCTGTAACCTGGGCTTTCTCACTGCTGGCTGATGAGTCGTGGTGACCCCAGAGCCTTTCTAAGTGTTTCTTTAACAATACAAATGGGGAAAGCAGCGCGTTCGCTCTTAGTCATCGTTGAGACTATGTGTTTGATGATGCTGTGCACATCGCGGATACACAATAAAAGAAATGTTTTCTTATTTCCCCTCACCTCATCAATATTTCTCCATATTTAAAAAATTAAATCCATTTTTAGTATGTAATTCCTTTGGGAGAAGATAGAGATAGTAATAACAAGATTACGGAAAACTATATATTTTTCTACCAATGCTATATGCTCACAGATACACACACATATAGAAACACATTTATTTCCCAAAGATAGAAAAAACAGGAAAAATGTATTTATTTTATATAGGTAGTATAATTCTGTTTTTGAGAATCTGCTCTGAAATTGCTTATTTTGGGGAATATGAAAAAAATAGACTAAGTGAAAAACTAGCAAATTACAGTTTATACTATGTTTTGTAGAGTTTGCAGAGTGGTCCGTATAACCAGTGTGCTGGTATACCCAAAAGGAAAAGTATGAAAAATCTTGAAATTCCTACCAAGGAGGTATTTGGTAAAGTTCAGAACTCATTCTGGATTTAAAAAAAAGAGTTTAAAAGTAGGAATAGATAACTGTTTCTTTAACAAGATAATAAGAATCTCACACTAATAGCAAATATTGTTCTTAATGGTGACTTATTACAGCCATTTCCACCACCATCAGATATAAAATTCTCATGTCCACTACCATTGTATCTGATATTATTCTAGAAATTCTGGCCCTTGTAATATGATCTGAAACTTTTGGAAAAGAGATACAGATACCATTACTGGAGATGATATAATTGTTTTCCTGGAAAATTCAAGACCATGAACTAAAACGCTAATTTCAAAGGAAGTTCAGTAGAGACCACCAATACGAGATGAATATACACCTCCTCCAAAAAAAATCAAAGGCTATCTTATATATTAGATATAATAAATAATAGATATAATAAATGAGAAGATATACTAGAAAACAAGGTCCACTTCACAGTAGCAAAAATAAATATAAAATGTTTAGGCAGAACATGAAAGAACACAACTAAAACTTTACTGAAATATAAAAAAGAGTATCTGAATGTATGAAGAAATTATCATTTCCTGACTGGGAGTACAAAATATTGTAAAAATGTTAGCCCTACTCAAATTAATTAATTGGCTTTAGTGGTGTGTGTGTGTGTGTGTGTGTGTGTGTGTGTGTGTGTGTGTGTGTG